AACGGGACTCAAATGAGTCCAGCCAGGTAGGCATCCAGCCTCTTCTTAAAGACCCCCAGGGTAGGGGCCAGCACCACTTCCCTTGGAAGTTGGTTCCAGCTCCTAGCCGCCCTAACTGTGAAGTAGTTTTTGCGGATGTCCAATCTATACCTCCTCTCCATCAACTTGTGCCCATTACTCCTTGTTATGCCAGCGGGCGCTAGGGGAAACAGCGTCTCCCCCAAACCCTTCTGGTCCCCCCTAGTGAGTCTATAGACGGTCACCAGGTCCCCCCTCAGCCTTCTCTTGTGGAGGCTGAATAGGTTCAGGTCCCGCAGTCTCTCACTGTAGGGTCTGCCCTGTTGTCCCCGGATCATGCGGGTGGCCCTCCTCTGGACCCTCTCCATATTGTCCACATCCCTCTTGAAATGGGGCGCACAGAACTGGACACAATACTCCAGCTGTGGCCTGACCAGCGTCGCGTAGAGGGGGAGGATCACCTCCTTGGCCCTACTCGAGATGCACCTGCGGATGCATGACAAGGTCCGGTTAGCCCTGCCAACCATGACCTCGCATTGTCGGCCCATGTTCATATTAACATAGTTCTGACAAAGCATATAGGCAAAACCAGCTAAAGGCAAATTCTCTCTTCTTCAGGACATTTATTATCATCTACCATTGAGCAGACGAACTTTATAAGTTGTCATTGTTAGTTGTTTATTGCTGTTCATTAGGCTACTGCCTTTCATAATTCAGTCATTTTTCCTGTTATACTCCTGTGTTCCCAAGTTTTGAAGTTCAGTAGCTGAGGGAAGCTCAAGTTGGTCCATTTTATATGCTCTTACTAAATATTGTGGGTGAAATCAGGCTGCTAATGGTGAGACTCACAGCAAAGGGAAGTAGGGTGATGCCAGACACACATATGTGTTTATTTTCTGTGATCCCTAACCAGCTGCACATGGCTGAGGAAGAAGTTCCTCCTATTGTCTCCTGGCTTTTCCCTGTAAGGCAAAGGGAGAACACAGACAGAATCACAGAATCATGGAAAATGAGGGTTGGAAGGGACCTCAGGAGGTCATCTAGTCCAACCCCCTACTCAAAGCAGGACCATCGCCAACTAGATCATTACAGTCAAGGCTTTGTCTAGCTGGGTCTTAAAAATCTCCAAAGATGTAGATTCCACAACTTCTCTGGGTTACCTGTTCCAGTGCTTCACCACCCTTCTAGTGAGAAAATTCTTCCTAACATCTAACCTAAACTTCTCTTACTGCAACTTGAGACTATTGCTTTTTGTTCTGTCATCTGCCACCACTAAGAACAGTTCGACTCCATCCTGTTTTGAACCCCCCTTTAGGTAGTTGAAGGCTGCTATTAAATCCCCTCTCAGTCTTCTCTAGACTAAATAATTGCAGTTTCCTGAACCTCTCCTCAAAAGTCATGTGCCCCAGCCCTCACCATTTTTGTTGCCCTCCACTGGACTGAACAGCATGTGTCACACAGTCATACAATTGCTGTATGACTCTATCCAATTTGTCCATATCCTTCCTGTAGTGGGGGCCCCAAACTGAACACGGTTCATACCTAAGTGAACACACTCCTAAGTGGCCTCACTAGGGCTGAACACAGGGGAATAATCACTTCCCTTGCCCTGTTACCAAGACTCCTACCGATGCATTCCAGAATGCCATTAGCTTTCTTGGCAACAAGAGCACACTTTTGGGTCATGTTCATCTTCTGGTCCACTGTAACCCCCAGTTTCTTTTTTGCAGATATACTGCCCAACCAGTCAGCCCCAGCCTGTAGTGACACATGGGAATCTTCTATCTTAATTGCACTTATCCTTGTTGAACCTCATGAGATTCCTTTTGGCCCAATCCTCCATTTTGTCTAGGTCACTCTAAATCCTAGCCCTATCCTCCAACGTATCTACTACCTTCCCCCCCATCTTGATGTCATCTGCAAACTTGCTGAGGGTGCCCTCTATGCCAACTTCCAGGTCATTGATGAAGACATTGAACAAAATTGGTCTCAGGATCAACCCCTGGGGCACTCCACTTGATACTGGATGCCAACTAGACATTGAGCAATTGATTACTACTCTATGAGCCCAATGCTCCAGCCAGTTTTTTATCCACCTTACAGACCATTCATCCAGCCCATACTTACTTAGCTTGCCTGTGAGAATGTTGTGGGAGACTGTATCAAAAGCCTGGCTACATTCAAGGTACACCACATCCACCAGTCTCCCCATATCCACAAAGCCAGGCAGTCACCTCATTATAGAAAGCAATCAGGTTGGTCAGGCATGGACTTGCCCTTGGTGAATTCATGCTGACTGTTCCTAATCACCTTCTTCTCCTTCAATTGCTTAAAATGGATTCCTTGAGGATCTGCTCCATGATTTTTCCAGGGACTGAGGTGAGGCTTACTAGCCTGTAGTTCCCTGGATCCTTCTTTTTGCCTTTCTTGAATATGGGTACTATGTTTGCCCTTTTTCAGTTATCCTGGACCTCTCCTGATCGCCATGAGTTTTCAAAGATGATGGCCAACGGCTCTGCAATCACATCAGTCAGTTCCCTCAGCACCCTCAGGTGCATCCCATCTGGCCCCATGGACTCATATATGTCAGCTTTTCTAAATAGTCCCTAACCTGTTCTTTTGCCACTGTTGGCTACTCACCTCCCCCCCAAAACTGTGCTGCCAGGTGCAGTAGTCTGGGAGCTGGCTTTGCCTGTGAGGACTGAGGTGAAAAAAAAATGGAACAATTTGGCTTTTTCTGCACCCTCTGTCACTAGTTTCCTCCCCGCTTCAGTAAAGGATCCACACTTTCCCTGATCTTCCTCTTTACTGGTATAATTGTAGATATCTTTCTTGTTACCCTTCACATCCCTTGCTAGTTGCAAGTCCAATTGCACTTCGGCCTTCCAGGCTTCATCGCTCCATGCCCAAGCAATACTCTTATACTCCTAATGCTCAGCATGCCATAACAAGAGTATAGAGGGTCTCACCTTCTGAATTTGTTCCTGAAATAGAACAGGTAAGCCAGGGACAGTATTTGTAGCAACCTAAAGGGTATAGACACAAGCATGCTCAGAGCCCTTTCAAAATGGGAATGATTCAAAAGGGCAGAACCTGGTACTGTTCCAGGGGTAGGTCCAGGGGTGTGTGTGGCAGGGGGTGCAGCTGCATCCCACTTTGATTTCTGTTCCACCCAAACTTTAAAACTAACTGCTTAGAAGGGGCATTTCTATTCAGGTTTCACCAAGGGAATTTATACACATGTTCCAGGGGTTGTGGGGAGGAGGGGATAGGAGTGCCTTAATTAGAGTGGCTCCGAGAGCTGCTCTAATTAAAGTGCCTGGAGTGTCTTGTGTATCAATGTCCCCACACTGAAAAATGATGTCAGAGGCACATTAACTAAAGCTCATCAAATGAGCTTTAGTTAAAGTGCCCCCACAGCCATTTTTCAGTGTGGGGATGCTACTACACATGATGCTGGAGGCTGCTGGAGCACGGTAATTACCACACTCCACTAGACTCAATTAATCTAATTACAGCACATTGGAGCAGCCCTGCTGCATGTATATAGGTGCCCTTAGAGACTCAATTGACCCACTTTCCACTCCACAGGTGTTAAAGAGCTTCTGTTCTTTTTAATGGTCCTGATAGTCAAACTATCCCTTCTTCTGCAACTGTCCCTTCTTCTTCAGCTGTCTGTTAGCCATTCTTGGTAATGTCTCTCTTCTATTTTACAGCTCTGAAGGCTGTTTTAGCTTTAGCTAAAAACCTTAACTCAGACATGATAATATGAACTCAGGTGTAGAAATGACTAACATCGAAGCATTGGAGACACTGGCTACATCTACGCAAGATGCTGACTGTGTAGTAGTTCATTACTACTGTGCAGTAGCATCACATGACAGGAAGCATGACAAGCTACTGTGCAGTCAGCATCATGAAAAAGCTTTCTGGTGATGCTACTGTGCACTAATTTAGTACTTGTTTATACAAGTACTAAGTGACTGTGTAGTAATGACTAAAGGCTAGATTTTGTATTATGAATCTGAATAAGAGCTATAAATTTAACTGTAACTGACTACAGGGCATAATCTTTTGATGATTTTGACTGTAGAGTTTAGACTATGGTTTGTATAGAATGGTTTGGATAGGGATGATCCTGCCTCAGGATGACCTCTGGAGGGCCCTTCCAGCCCAACTTCCCTGTGACTCTATGACTATTTTGGCCTAGTTTGTTGTATTTTTTCTAATTCATAGGAGAATAAATCAGTGCATATTTCAATAGTTATATTTTTTTGCTTGGATCTTAAACTAGGTAATATAGCACTAGCACCTTAGCATATTAGTAAGGATTCTAGGGCATTTTTACATGTGCTCTGGGGGGGCGGGGGGTGCTTCAATTAGAGCAGTTCTCGGAGCGCCCACAGCATCTCATGCATCTTCAAAATGGTGGTTGGAGCATTTTAACTAGAACTTGTTGAATGAGCTTTAGTTAAACCATCCCCATTGCCATTTTGAAACACAGGGACACTGATACACGAGATGCGGAGGCTGCTGGAGGCATGCTAATTAGCATGCTCTTGCAGACTCAGTTAATCAAGTCTGCTCCAATGTGCTGTATTTACAGCATGTTGGAGCAGCCTCCCCCCACATCTACAGGCACCCCTAGTTTCTCTTTAACTGGAGAAAAATATGTACTGTGTTGTATGTAATGATATGCCACAGTACCTGTAACCCCTTTTCAAAATCTTAGATGTGCCCATGTACTGTGCTAATCTGTTACATGTGAAAGAGCTAAGACTGGTTCAAACGTTGCAAAAAATGGCTCTAACTTTAACCCTAAATGAAAAACTATTAAAGTTGGAGCTGTTCTGCTACATTTGAATTGTTCTCAGCTCGCTCACACATAACAGTCAGAATATACAAGCTGCTGACCTTTTGAAACTTTCCCATTTTGAAAGGGCTTCAAGCATTTGTAGACTATATACAAAGTCTCCTACAAGATGCAGGTATGTGTACAAGGTGCATATTTCCAAAACAAACCCAGGTGAAACTGGCAAAATCTCTCAGCAACATGTAGGGGAGAAAAAAATAATGCACAAATATAGAATGGAAGATAGAAGATAGAATTGGAGATGCTTGCCTATGGGGTTTCAACAGGCACAAGCTATGTGATGCAGTTGCCAAAATGCAAAAGCATTTTTGGCTGCATGTTGTTCAGTATAGCATGTACATGATAGTACCAATTTAACAAGTGCTCATTAGGCCTCAGCTACACTTGTGTGCAGTTCACAATTTAAGAAAGATGTGGAGAAATTGGAGAGGATGCAAAGCCAAGGGACAAAGATGATAAAGGTCTTAGACTGCAAACTGTAGGAGGAAAGGTTAAGAGAACAAAGTATGCTTAGTTTGATGAAAAAGAGATTAAAAGGGTATGTGATGACAGTTTTCAACTATTTGAGGAGCTGCCATGAAGAGGAAAAACAACTGTCCTCCCTTGCTGCGAAGGGCAGAACATGAAGCAATGCGTTTAAACTTCAGCAAAGCAGCTCTAGATTAAATATATAATAATAGAAACATATTTAAAAAAACCCAACTTCCTAACTGCCAGAATAGTAGGACAGCACAACAAGCTGCTTAGGGAAGTTGTGGACTCGTCTTCACCGAAGATTTTAAAAAACGGACTAGATAGGCATTTATCTGGAATATTAGAGAAACAGCACATCCTGCATTAATGCAGGGGGTTGGATTAGGTGACCCTTGAGATTGTGATTGTACTGTGCTTGTATTGTAAAGTAGTATCTGCAACTGAAAGGCTTTACTTTATTGCTCAATGTGCAAATTTCCCACAGTGGAAATAAGGAGCAACATGAGTCACACACTGTTTCTCCTTTTCTGGTCTGGTTTCAGAAGATTATATAATGTGTAGCCTGTAAGCTCAGTAATGAAGGGGTAGTCTTTTCTGGAAATCAGATAAATCCATTTGCCAAAAAAGAAATGTGGATACAAGACTGAACAACTGAGCTGAGCTGACGCAGCAAGAATGTGATTCAGACTGGCAGATAAAAAAAACTTCATTTTGTAAAATCCTTTTCTTCATTGTTAGAGAGTTAAAAAACTGCCCCAAATACAAAATCAAGTGTGTAAGGGCTATGTTCAGCCTACCTGAAATTTGAAGCAAAGGCAAGATATCTATTAACTGGATTTTCAGTTCAGCTTTGTATTTGGAGTGGCAAATTTTGCACAAGGGCCAAAATCTATAGCTCTTACTGAAGGAGATCTCCTACTGCTTTACTTTGCCCTGCCATTCCTACAGGAAAATCTCATGAATGAGAGGGTTGCTGGAGTCCACAGGAATTTGGAAAGGGATTTCAATGGGGCCAGGATTTCACCCTTAATCTTTAGCATAAAGTCTTTCCTTCAGGGAGGAAATGGATTTCACAACATATTTAGAAATGATAGAAGTTTCTTGGTTCTTGTAATGTCCTGCTTCATGAATACAGATAAATACAGAAAACACACAATGGAAATCACTGGAAAAATACCTAATGTCTGCACAAGATTTACCCCTTCTCACCCATTCATCAATCTGGGGAATAGGGAGGGAGTTAAGGGTGAGTGGTGCTTGTCGTGAGAAGCATTTTGAGTGACTTAGGTAGGTATTTACTACAAAGTTTTCCTGGTGCAGGCAATCTGGTTAGTTAGGGATATAAAAAAAAATCACACCCTGACCAGTGCATCAGCAAAACCTCTGAAGCAGACACAGATTAGACAAGTACAGGGTACTTGGCTGGTATTGCTTACGTCCATCAGGAAGGTGAATTAGTTATATCAGCACAAGAATTCTTTTTGCCAGGATAAAATGTGTCTCTAGCATGTACCTTCAAATTGTTCCTTGTGAATACCTTCAGTGAATCTTTATTTGTATAGTGAAGAAGAAACTGGTTTTGATTTCAAACATTTTAGTGCTTGAGCTACTGACCAACATGTATTCTAAGGAAATAGATATAACAGCCAGAGAAGCTCCTATTGAACTACTAGAAAACATAGCATTTTAATGATATTTGTTATGTATTGAAACACCATGTAAGCTGAAATAAACAACTCAGACCTACCCAATCTGCATGTGCATTTACTGTGTGGTGCCTTGAAAATATAGGCACACAGAATGGTCTACAAAATATAAGCCAATAGTTTCTCTTTTTATGATAAACTGTATCTCTCCATCCAAAATTATTCTAAATACATAGACTTGAATGGGATGCCAAGATGTCAGCACTTCTTGCTGAGGAGCTAAATGACAAATTTAAATCCTTTTTTATTTATAACTTACATTATACTAGCAATATAATATACACTTCTTTGCCTCATTAATGATCCAATGCCTTCATTCTTATAAACTAACTCACCTGGGGGTCATGACTGACCACAAGATGAACATGAGTCTTCAGTGTGATGCTGCGGCTAGTAAAGCGACCAAAACGCTGGCTTGCATCCATAGATGCTTCTCAAGCAAATCCCAGGACGTCATTCTCCCGTTGTACTTGGCCTTGGTGAGGCCGCAGCTGGAGTACTGCGTCCAGTTTTGGGCTCCACAATTCAAAAAGGATGTGGAGAAGCTTGAGAGAGTCCAGAGAAGAGCCACGTGCATGATCAGAGGTCAGGAAAACAGACCTTACGATGACAGGCTGAGAGCTATGGGGCTCTTTAGCCTGGAAAAGTGCAGGCTCAGGGGGGACCTGGTGGCCACCTATAAGTTTATCAGGGGTGTTCATCAGGATCTGGGGGAACGTTTGTTCACCAGAGCGCCCCAAGGGATGACAAGGTCGAATGGTTATAAATTCCTGCAAGACCATGTCAGGCTGGACATAAGGAAGAATTTCTTTACTGTCTGAGTCCCCAAGGTCTGGAATAGCCTGCCATCGTAGGTGGTTCAAGTGCCTACTTTGAACGCCTTCAAGAGAAGTTTGGATGTTTTTCTTGCCGGGATCCTATGACCCCAGCTGACTTCCTGCCCCTGGGGCAGGGGGATGGACTTGATGATCTTCCGAGGTCCCTTCCAGACCTAATGTCTATGAAATCTATGAACCTTTTGACCCAACCTTTATTAAATCCCTTTATTAAATCAGAAAGTAGGCTGTGGACAAGAAGTATAATTATGCTAGCACAGAACTGAGCAGCCCTTCTGAATGTTTTAATTCAATTCCTTTAAAGATTTGAAATAACTTATTTTCTTGGGAGAATATCCCAAAAACCTATTACTGCAGCACCAAGGAAGACATATTCATGTCTCAAGGATCTAGACCCTTGATCATACCTCCACTCTGAAGAGAAGGATGTTCCAGTAGACAGGAGCAGCTTCAGCCAAAGCCAGAGCAGTTGTCTTGAGACATTCAGGTTAGGGACAGAAATTATACATAAACTAGTATAAGTGATTAGAAACCAGTTCAAATCTATAACACAACAGAAGTTCAGTGCATACAAACTGCTTTCAAAATGGCTGAAACCAGTTTAAGGTAAACCTGGTTGGATGTAGTATCAGATTTAACTCATTTAGGTTCAATCGATTCATTTAACTTCTGTCCCAGATCCCCTCCAGATTCAGATTAACTCACAGTCCCCCATCATCCCAGAATGCTTTGCAGGGTGGGTGGGCTAGGCTTGGCCCAAGCTGTCTGCTCCAGCTGAGCAGGGAAGCATGTTCTAGTGCCCCCTGACTTCTGGTCTGGGCTACTGTAGGCATGTGGCTACATTTCCGGAATCAAAAGTAAATGTCTGCTCACTTGCTTATTGGTTCAACCTACACATCTTAAACTAACCTGTGAAGATTAAATAAATTCAGCCTCAGCCTTTTTGACTCTCTGTGCTTAGCCTCAGAGGACTCTTTACTGTTTTGATAGGACTTTCCCTACTCTGTACTGATTAGCTTTTTGTTTCTGCTTTCCTCTCTGTCTGTCACTCTATTCATGTCCGATTCATTTTGTTCTTCATACATTCTTCTCTCCTATGCTGCTCCCTCAAATCTCTTTCCTTCCTGTTTCTTTCCATTTATTTTATCCCCTACTAAATACCATGCGGCCCTTCAAAAATCACAGAACTAAACTGATATTTGCTGCTACCACATTGTTTACTTTCCCTATGTGTGATACTCTTTCTACCAATTCGCTCCTTTAGCCACTACTATAATAAACGTGATCAATGATGATATGCAACAAAAAATAAATACGAAAAACAGGTGACTACTCTGAATCCTTACCCCGTCTTGCTAAGAAGAGAGAACACCATGATATCAAGATGCACTTACACTCTGGGTCAGTGCTCCAGCTCACCAACTTCATGGCTTTTCTTTTATCAGGAGCCAAACTAATAGTTACATAGCATAGAGGTCAGCTCAAACTCAAAGTTGTTTCTGAGCCTATAATGGGACAGGGAGTAGGGGGAAAGGTTCTGAATTGGAGTTTAGGTGAATGAGGGGTTGTAAGATTGAGTTTTATGATAGGAAGGCATCTAGCACTAAAAAGAAAACACTTCAGTGCTTTAGCTGAAATAAATAGATGTGGAAAGGTTCAAAGCCAAGGAGGAAAAAGTTCTGGTTCAGGTTAAAGCAAATTTCTGAGCAGAAGTAGGCTTGGTTAGATGGAGAATGTGAAGGTATCACAGCATTTTCTGGGTAGGGAGGGATATGATTAGGCAGAATTGAGTGCAGGTGAATGGATAGAATGAGATTTGTGTACAGAGATAGGTGAATTGGTAAATGAGAATTTTGATCCTACAACATACTGGGTGCATCTATATGAGACGCTGACTGCACAGTAGCCGAATAATACTGCACAGTAGCACATCACAGCACCAACAGTGCTAGTAAGCTATTGCTATGTGCAGTAACTCTGGTTACTGTGCATTTATTTAGTACTTGAGTACACAAGTACTATATGCAGTAACCACTGTGCAGTAGCATCTCATGTGGATGTTCCCACTGGAAATTAAATGAGATTTTCAGAGTTTTGCC